CCCTCCTACTAGTAACAATATATGTGATCTAAAAACGTTTTCACACACCATACCCTCAAATTATGCCAGATCAAATAGCATATTCGGCTCAGGAATAAAACTGAACTAGAATTAAAACATCCCAAATTGTCACTTGAAACTATGACCATCGTCCTTGTCTAACCTAATTTGTTCCGTGACACTGTTACACATAATCCGATGAACACTCACTGTGTTAGAAGTAGCTAGGGTGCTAGCATACGTAGCGTTTTCAATGACCAATCGATAATGTCTCGACTTCGACAAACTAAATCAGTCTCGCCGTCACCCTCTAGCGTTGATATTTTTGGGTTAGCCCACTTGAGTACTGTTTGCTTTTGAATTTTCTTATGTGTGGGTTTGTTGTAACTTGTAAGTAGTGGTAGATAATTTAATTTTGTTTAAGTGATTACTTGGTCATTGTTGAAATACAACTTTTGTATACTCTGGAGGATGTTCTTGGAAATTATTGCTTGTAAACTTATCTGTTTTATTGATTGGTCGATTCTTTGGTTAGGTAGTGTTATTGAATTAATTCTTAATTGTCTAGAAACGCCCTTCTGACTCCTCCAGTGTTATGGGCGTCCATCAGCTAATACGTCTGCTCATTTGCCTTGCCTGTATCTTTAATGATAGTAGTACTTAGCGTATGTAGTTTAGGAGTCGTAATATTCCTAACATAATCTGTGAAAAGTTGATACCTGCTGAAGGCCTGCTGCTCCAGGGAATAGGTACATGAATGTTCGTAAACGAAACACTTCATAATGCTAAATGAAAAATTAAACTTAATTTATCCAGTATAAATATTTAATAAAAAAATCGTTTATCATTTATTTAAAATTACATCATTTTATTTTAAAATTATATGAAAAACTTTTCACTGAACTCAACTCAATCTCACGGGGAAAATGATAATATCAGTTCAATCCTGTTTTAATAAACTTATAGTAATTTTATAATATTAAACGAGAAAAATGGAACTATATTGGAATATTGCCGAGTTTCATTATTATATAAAATTTATGAACAAGCTTACTTATAGACTATAGATACTATTTAATTATTTTAATTCTTTCATTGCAACTGAAGCTGAATTGAAATCTCATTGCATACCAGTATTTATTTGTTTATTAATATTAATATTTTATAACTTTTATAAACAATGAAATTTTTATAGAGTATTCACGTAATTGATTCTCTTCGGTTTTTGCATACGAAAGAAATGTATTTCTTTTTTATTCCTTTTTACTATTACCATGTAGGCAGTAAAGAGTAATTTGCATATTAGTATTATACGCAGTTCAATTAACTTGTATTAATATTAGTAAGATTGAAAAAGTCTTAATATAGTTTTTTTTTTATTTTCGTTTAAAGTTTTAAGGGTTTTAGGTACCTTTAAAGTAAACCGCAAAATGTCATTCAATGGCTACTCAACCTGGTAACTACCTATACATTTTAGAATAAAGTGAGGACTATTTTTGGAAATCATTAACCGTTTCTGATTGTGGCATTTGGTCACTTGGAATACACAATGCTGTAAGGATGTTGAAATGTTATATCTTACATTTCTTTCGAATCAGGTATAGTTTTATTCGCAACGAAAATTTATAATTAACATTTCTTTTTTTTTATTACTTGTAGAAATAAGAAGAGACTGTTAGAAGAACTATATCATACATATACCAAAAAGTTTGACCTATACACATTAAAAACCTAATAATAAAGTATCCACTATAAAACCCTCAGTCGCCTTAGGAAAACAAACAAATACCCACCTAATCGGTTTTTAATAACGCGAGGGGGCGATGCGGTAAAATAGATACATACTCGTAGTAATTCGACGGCGCAATTACCAAAATGTTTATTGTTCTTTCCCTTATAGATAAGGAAAAACTATAGAAAACAAGGAAATAAATTATTAAACAACTGTCATTTGGGTTTTGGATGACCACTTATATCGGCTACTCTATTAAATTCACGGGTACAATATTGTAATTTGTAAGTTTCGAAAAATGTTTCGTGCGTTCGGGGGTTAAATTGTTTTTTAGTATTTTTTTTTTTTATGGAAAAGTTTGGTAGTCAATTTATTATACCTTTTTGGTACATGTATGATTCATTGACTCTTTATCCTAGTTATGGCTAAACAAATCAAGTAAACACGATGTTATAACTTTGAGACTGGTAGTGTAATTTCGTAGTATGTTATTTGGAGCTATTGAATTACAGTAATTGGTTACAAGTACGAATATCGAATATAGGGTTTCGGTTTGGGCAAATTAATATACTTAGCGTTTTTTTTTAAACTAGCGACCTGCCCCGGCTTAGTTAAGGTGCAATGCTGATACTTAATTGTCTTCACTACTTAATTCATGTTATTATACATAGAAACCAGGCTCTTCATTCACTCTACCTATTAAAAAATCGCATTAAAATGTGAGGCTTAGTTTTGAGAATTTAAGCATACATAGAGATATAGGGACAAAGAAAGCGACTTTGTTTCATACTGTCGACTGCACGTTGGTGCGGTGGCCGAGCAACTGGCTGCCGTGCATCGTGTCGCGGGTTCGATTCCCGCACGGAACAACTCTTTGTGTGATCCACAAATTGTTGTTCCCGGTCTGGGTGTCACGTGCACGTGAAATTGTATGTTTGTAACCGCACCCACGACACAGGAGGAACTCCTAGTGTAGGGCAACGTTTTCTAAAAGAGAAGAAAAAAAAAGAGAAGAAAATACTTTGTAGTGATAATGATTTACACGAATCTATTGAGAAAAGATCAACAAGTTTATTATATTTATTAGTTCACACACGCGAGAGAGCGAGATGTCTATATTCTGTGAGTTTGTGGTATCACTCCCGTCTATTCGTATTGAGATATGGTCCTCACACACTTAGAAGAAAAGGACACTAGTTATATTACGTTCACAGTTCGTCTTGAATAAGCACCTGTTCTAAAGGTTAAGGCAGAGGTGTGTGTATGTTACACCCACTTAGCAACATTCAAACAGCGGATTCCTTTTATTCAGGCCTAGCCTGTTATTGACATCACTCGTTTAATACCTAGAACAGGTAGGCAAAGGTGTATCTATACTTTCGTCTACATTTTGCCGATATAATGATACATAGGCATACATATGTATTGTGTTAGTGATTGACTTTGTAAATCATCTCTCCGGTTTTAATGTAGTAACTATAACTTTATTCTTTGTTTTTTCTCTAAAATCTTAAAGCAATTTTTGTGAAATTTTGTTCATTATATAAGGTAGATATTGTTTATAACAGAGCCCCAGGATTTAGTTATTGTTCTTGTGTCTAAATACTGTTGAATTGCATACATACAATCATCCAAACTTTTATTCACCAAAAATTGTATTGTGATCCTGGTACGTACGTAACTTTAAACTATTCATCAGTCGTATTATGAGCTCCGTATAAAGAGGGTGTTCCAAATACCGTGCTGATTTAAACCCTATAATATTGAGCACGTCGAAGTAAATGATCTAACGCTTTCGTCTGCCCTGCGTAGGTCGAAAAGTTATATCAAACTCTTACACCCGGTTTCCGAAAGGCCGATCAATGTTAAAATCAATTTAATCTCTTGTCAAGTCATCTGATTGGTTGCCTGAATTATCAACAACCAATCAGATGACTTGAAAAGAGATTTGACACCTAGTTGGTTGATTTTAACATTGATCGGGTATTCGGAAACCGGGCATTACTGTCTTTAATCCGACCACCTCCAACTCTTGCTCCTAGTTCGCACCTAAAACTTTGCAATTACACCTGCAAAATCGACCGTGTACCGGCCTTAGTGAGCCCCATCTGTCGTGGAGTCCCACCTGGTGTCGCGGCGAGCCACTCTTGCTCTCCGTTCAAAGTTCCCTTGGTTAATCTTGTGACCATTTGACATTAATAATTTATTTATTTTATATTTATAATGCTAGGCAGGCAATATAAATCAATAAAATAATACATTACATCAGTCAAGCCAGTCAAATGTTTGCTTTAAGATTAGGTCGGCCCACTTATTTCTGTGGGTGTTAGAACCTAATTAAATTGGGATTAGGTTACAGATTTAGCTGGATTAACGGTACAGTTAGGCTCTTGTTTTTTCAGAGATTGCTTGTATCAACAAGACCTTTTCAATTAATTGAACACAATTTTAAGTGTATCAACATAATGTTCATGACAGGGTACTATGGGAATCAAAAATCTATTCAGTCTATCAATAAGATGATTAAAAAACATTAAGACGAATTTTGTTTTATGAAATCGATTTTTAAGCATGGAGATTTCGCTGCGTCACTTCTAAAAAAATAAATGATGAACAGCCTTTATTGACCGCCTTGTTTAGACACACTAGGATTTTTCTCGAACGAAAATAAAAAAATCATGCTGTTAAGGGTTACGGACTGATTTTTAATGATTGTTAGATAAAATTATTTGCGCAATTTTTATGATGCTGTCGCCTTAGAATCTTTGTTTAATACAATGACAGCAACCATTTTATTCCTAAGATAATATTTATCTGACTGTTGAAAAATCAGCTCTTAATAGGTTAAACAAAAATATGATGAGTTGTGACATGTTGTAATTAAGTATAGGCCAAAATAAATAAGCTATTTTCGTCTCCGTGTCCTTTAATTCATGCGTAGGCTTCATCTATGCTGTCGTTACATTTTTATCCCAACTTACCGAAGGAAAACTTAAGTAATAAAGTTGATATCAACTAAAAATAACCTGAAACTTGAAAACAAAGCCACGGTTTGCCCAAGAGTCCTCTAAATTGTTGGCACAAGGGGCAACTGGCTACCTCGACAATTTTATTCCATCTCATATTACAGTGTACGACCAAGATTACTGTAATAAACTTGAAGAACTGCGGCCAAAGAGGTACATAGTAACCGACATGGATATTTGGAATGGACTAGATATGCTATCTCTTTCAGTATCAAGTGTGGGAGAGCCAAGCTTCGGCACGAATGGGTCGGCTCGGCCGGAGCGAAACGAAAGCCTTACAGGAATCCGGCGTGAAACAACCACATCGTTGTGTTTTGTCCTGTGAGTGAGGTTACCGGAGGCCCAATTCTTCCCCTTCCCTCCCCAATCCTGAAATCTCCGAAACCTTTCGCAATCCGAATGCACTCGTAACTCCTCAGGTGTTGCAGGTGTCCACGGTTGGCGGCTCTGACTTACCATCAGGTAATCCACCTGCTTGTTTAGAGTCCTATTCTCTTAAAAGAAGGAAAGTTACTAGTGCGTTGCCGAACTTTTTGCGATAAGGTTTTTAGGGATTGAGGGAGTGGAAGGATTGAGCTACTTGCTAAAAATTAAAAAAAAATACGGTACATACTGATGTTTACGTAATCCGTTCTTAAGAGTATGACCTGCTGAAGTTGTATGCGGCAGTTATAACTAGGTTAATTATACTTCAGTTAAAAAATATTAACCTGTTTACCGGAGGTCAGGTCAATGTACCGGTACACTAACCTAACTAAATACCTTGTCTTTAAATAATTAAATATTAATTAGATTTCATTAACTATAATTCGGTGTCGAATGTAATTAAGTAGACAAATTGTTTGAATATGTATTTATTTTATTTTAATTTAGTGGGCCGTGTGCTTATTTAAATAGTTTTTTTTTTAAGTCTAAGTTTATATTTTAAAGTAAGTAGTTCCAAGGCACACCCATGACTCAGGAGAAACAACTAAGGTAGGGTTAATTTAAAAAAAAACGAACAGTGATAGACAATATGAACAGTGTGTCTTTGTCACACAAAGTCATGTACACTACATAAAGAACAAGTACATTTAAAAAGTTAGGTTTTATTAAAAACATATCAAATCTATTCGCTGTTATTCTATAATCGTCACTATTGACAAGAAGATAAGGGTCAAACCCAGTTCACATTGAATCAGTCTAGAATGTTCCCAAATGTGTATTTCTGTCGATTTCAGCTCCTTTCATATCAAACTATAGTGGTGAAATTGTACGTTTCTTTCCATCTTGTGACCGTTCTAAAATGACCCTTGTAAATGTGAACCATTTGGTGGCAAAATTATTTGTTTTCTATATATGTTGGGGTCAAGAGAGAATGGTTGGGTTATCTCCGTCCAAGTTTGTTTCGCGAAATAAGTAAGGGACTGAAAATTATAGGATGACATGTCTTTCTTTCAGCGAGATAAAAATAAATAGTTTTTTTTTTCTTTTTCATTCGGATTCCGGGATATTGTTTAATGTAGGTATGTAGGTGTTCGTTTAGAAAAAGGATTTTGGTTCTGATGGTATTATTTTCTTTGTGTAGCTAATAAAACGTATTTTGTATTAGGTAGCTGTGTATCTTATGTTACCTATATTATATTCCCTAGATATTATGTACCATCATCTTCTAAAGCGTTTTAAATATAAGTGGAAAAGGTTTCACATATTATAAGGTGTTCACAATACTCAACTACAAAAAGTAGGTTTAGTAGTTCTTGAGGATTTCACTAGATGGCATTAATCAACATTACCTATTTATTTTTCAAATAATAAATTTTATGATATCATTATTCCAATGTTAATTAGTTACAAAATATAGAAACAATAACTCATTCAATTCTATAAAGTGTATCACATAAATAATTTAATACAATTAACAGATTACGTCACAAAACGTCTGCCGGTGCGTGGGCGCATCCATCTTATGAATATTAACAACTTTTGTGTTGCGAGAGGTTCTGCACACAATGCCGAATTCACTTTCGTTCTGACAATTAGTTTGAGAAGTTGCAATGCAATATTTGTTGTACTTGTATTTGTTGTCAGTACTACAGTTTGCACATAAAAAGTAAAGTTTGACACAGTACATTGATAGTCAAAATTATTTGGTTACTGATATTGTTCACCTCAGTTATTAGTACAATATTATTATATGATTTCATTAAAAACACATAATTTAGTGTAACAATAGCTTTTGTCTCTGTTCCGAGTCAATCTTAATTTTCTGTTCTACATGTAATATACACGGTTTGGTATTTTTTTTCAGAAAAAACAGGATTCTTCATTTGTATTGTATACTAGTAGAAATCTAATTTTTTGTTGTTATATTAATGATGTAATTACAATATTGTAACAATTGTTGAATAATCATGTTTTTTTTGTCAAAAATACAATCAAGAGATGTACTTTCAGCTACTTGTGTGACAACTAAAATGGACAACTATGCAATAGACCATACAAGAAAAATACTATCGATAATTTGTGTCTATAAGCTTCCTATTTTCTCTGTATACATTTATATCAATAATCTAACATGAAGAAAATTACGCTACAGTCTGTTATACCATCATAGTGAGCGTTACGTCACGCCCCGCATCGCTGCGTGGGCGCATCGAACGCATGAATTATTGAAACGTACTTGTGTATCGCTCGCTAATGTTTCCTTTACTTTCGTTCAGGTTATGGCCCATGCGATAAGACATAGCGGAATTTCATACTTAGTTTTGAACACATATTTTTATGTGTGTTTTATAATTATCTTTAAGACTTTCTTCACTTAAGAAACTATATTTATTTTAGATATTTTGCAAGTAGCTGATGAAAGTTCTACCCAAATATTGGTGACCTTATTGCCTAATAAAATGCGTGAAAATAACAACATATTTGCTTCTATATTTTCTAAAGCACTGATACTTCATAGGATATAATGTTGTGGTAATCTACCCCCCTAGCCAAATACAGTATCAATAATCGTTATTGCTTTAGAAACGAAACAAATGTAAGGGAATTCATTCGTGAGCCACGTGACCTGATCTTGAATACGGTGAGCAAAAATTTCCATATTTTTTTTATCTTTCCAAAGCCATAGCAATTATCGATACTCAACTTGGCTAGGGAAACTGTTCTTAGTAATAATTATGAAATACAAGTTTCTCTCGCGCGGTTTCATCCGCTGCTCGGCTCCATTTAGTCGTAGCGTGATGTTTTATAGCCTATAGCACTCAAGAACATTGTAGGTACCTACCATTGAAAGAATTTTGGAATTTCGACTAGCGGTTCCAAAGATTTCCTCCTACATACAAACTTACAAACAAACAAATTTACAAATTTTACCTCTTTATAATATGTATTAGTATAGAAAAAACTCTTGAATTCTTCACTATCTCTCATAACTTACTCCACAACCTAAATCATTGTTACCAACAAGATCCAATAGCACAGATAGCCACTTCAGAAACATCGTTACAATTGTACCACTTCCTAAAACCAATGTAAATTATTCAAACGGCACAATTGTTCTCTAATGTATTCAAATCCATTTTTAATTGTCTTCCCTCCATTGAGTCATACATTTAATGTCCGTAATGTATATAAGAAGCGAAGGTTAATGTATACTGCTCATAAAACTAATTGTTTAATTATAATTTTGAGCAAATTAATGTTGGTCAATGAGGTTAATATTATTATTAGTGTGATAATTATATTTATGCTTTGTTCTTAAATAACATTGCTTTTATTTTGTTTATTATTTCTTTCCTAGTTATAATTGTGTTTGTTTACGGATAAGGTTAGTTGATGAAAAAATGTCTTCACGTAATATCTAGCAATCGATATTTCTCTTCAAGTTATGACAACTGGTGACCAAAAGCCAGCCTTTCATATGGGCATGTGACACAATCCTCAATCTCTAGTTGCTCTAGTGTTGTTCATGTGTGTCTAATTATGTTACTTTTATACTTTTAGGTCATACTACGAGATGAAACATGTACGCTATTATGGCTGTTAAACATGAAACTTAATTAAGAGTGCATAGCCGGTCTTTTGGGGATTTCAGAGGGGAAGGATTGGGTTTCCGGTAACCTCACTCATATGGCGAAACACAACGCTGTTATTGTAATTAGGCATTAATATTTCATTCATCGAATAAGATACCTTGGTGCTATCATTGCCATGTTAGGAATTCGTATTATGGCTATAGCGTCCTCGTATTCATGCGACACTGTGGTAGTATTCAACGCTATGGCAAGTACAAATTATACTTCAGAAGGTTAAAATGTTAAAACACAAAAAAGGAAAAATCACACTTTCTAAAAACTTTTATGCAGTAACTATCGTGAGTCATACTAAAATTTATTGAAAATAACGACTTACTCACGTTAATAACCACTTCAGATGGGGCCTAACAGGGCCAATGTTCAGCCGGGGTTGCGCGGGTCAAGCGCAATAAGGTACCGCAGCCCCGACCTGCAGCAGTAGAAGGAGTGGAGTGGTTTCAACAAAAGTCTGACACTCCCTCTCGACTCACACTGGGCGAGGAAAGACATTTAAAGACACACACGCAGCGCCACAAAAAAAAAAACAAGATAAATTTAGAAAAGTTCTACTGGTTTCATGAGCAGCGTGCGCGTTGGGCCACGTCTGTGCGACTCCTCTGGTATTGTGTGTGTTAATGGGCGGCGCTGATCACTCACCTTCAGGTGATCTGTTTGATCATTTACCTCTTTTATTACAAAAATGCTATTGTGTAGAACCATAAATGATTTGAAATCTTTTTTTATGTAAATTAAAGGGTTTGCAAAAGGATTGTATGAGCTTTATGAATATTTTGCCACATGTAAATGACAGGCAATTATTAGCATAAAGATTGAGAAGTAGCGTTATCCATGATTAAAAAAATCTAATAAAATCACTCAACTACAGATACAGTTTTTTAAATATTATATTATTTTATCAAGTTGAACTTCTGAATGTTTACGTTTACTATCGCAAGGTCGTCGCATGCATTGGATAGCACTGCAGGTATGCGTGCCACGTCGCTGCTGACGTAACCTTGAAGATACCTGGGTTAGCCAGCTAGTAGTACTAGAAATCTATGTGCTAGTACTAGCATACTGAGGTACCTACGTTTGTACAAAGTAGATTATTGCCAAAGTTTGGTACGGTATTATTTTAATTGATTTAAGTTCTTTTTTATAACATATATTCAGTTAACGTGGTGATAGGCAATCAAAGACAAAGAAATCCACAACATTATAGGTTGCAAATGAGTTTCCACTATTTTAGGGATTGTTTGTTTG